CTGATCACGATAACACTTTATTTATCGATTAGACAAATACATTTTCGAATTAAATTATTTAGTGTACCATAAATTTTTTTTAGTTTCTAATTAATGAGAGTCATATATATGACCAATTNAATACTAACNAAACTNNCGTTCTTTTGCANCAAATACGTTTNTAATAAAAAAAATTATTACATGATTGGTCATCTTTAATTTTGCATCAAATACGTTTGTAATAAAAAGATTATTGAACAGACTTTTTTTTTCACTCTTTTTATCGTTTTTTTGCGATTTTTATCTTTCACATCGATTCATTTGTGAATTATTATATTTTTCTACATTCACAATTTGTGGAAGAGTAAGATTTCTTTTCGAGAGTATTAGTTAGGAAATGATTGAAAAATTTAGCATTCTAACAACCTTAAAATTCCTAAAATCACTAATTAATTTTTTCACACCATTTTTTTTGTTAATATTACGATTCTTTTTATTAAAGTTTTTTGTGACTTTTTTTTCTGAATTTTTGTTTGAAAATGGTAGTTACCTATCTAAAGTTTTAAATGTATTTTTATTGTATAGTATATTAATGGGTTTAATAAGTAAAATATATATTTTTCAAACCATTAAATATTTACAATAACATATTTAATTTAGAATTATAATTTTTGGTGGATATCAAAGAAAGAAAAAAACTGAAATTGTTCATTTTTTTATTACAATTTAATTTTTTGGAATGAACTTAGATTAAATTTAGCTATTAAATTGTATGAATTAATTATTAAAATTATTAAAAATACTTATTTTTTTCAATAAATAAATAAAAAGGGTAAATGTCAAAAATATAGGTGATATATGGCATATTCGCATGACTTGAGTTTAGAAAAATTTTAAAATATTATATAAGATGTAAATCCTTCTGAGTCCATTAATATCAACTCTCAAATCAAATCTGTAAATAAACTATGTGGATAAATAACACATAATTTAAATTAGTATTTTTAAGCTATCGAACAAAATAACAAAAGATTTGAACATGAATTTTATATTCATAAAATCAATAACACTGAATTTAATTTAATTTAATTTTGATCTTCAAGTCTAACCTGTAAATTTTATAAATTTGTAGGTCTTTTATTGAATTTAATTATTTGTATATTTGACATGAAATTTCTTTCAAATCCACTAAAATTTAACTATTTATTAATCATAAAATCAATATTTAAACATGAATTTTAAAAAACGTAGTACATTACCCCTTAACTGGGTTTTCATGGGCCGGAGAAAAGCTCAGGGGTTCATGGGCCAACAACCTACTACAGTCCAAAACATTGTCACCATCATCGGAATCTTGAGAGAGCTTTCGCTGTTACGCAGAGAAAACCAAAATCCTCAGACTTGTAATTACACAATCTAAGATGGTGCTTCTGAGATCCCTCCGCCGAACCGCTACGGCAGTCTCCGTCGCTGCCTTCCGATCTTCGAGATCCTCCTCCGTCCCTAATCATCTCTTAAGCAATCATCTCCTCTCCACGCGAGGATTCTTCGCTGTTTCTTCATTTCCTTCCAATCGAACACTTCCCGGTAGCGATTACAATCATTGCGTCTTTTGTTCATATCGCCTTCTGATGATTGAGATTGTCTAGTTTCAGAATATTAGACTCGGTGTATTCTTCGCTTGTTGATCTCTAGAGGACCCATGATTGAGATCTCATTATCATTTAGTTTTGAAGGATTTGAGGTGTACTCTTGTTGTGCACTTTGTATTTGACGGTGAAATTTTTTTGCAGATTGTAGGTATCCTCGTGTAATGGACATTGGAAAAGTGCGAAACTTTAGCGAAGATGTGTCACACATGCCTGAAATCAAAGACCCTGATGTTCTTAATGCTTTCAAAGAATTGATGGCTGCAGATTGGGCAGAGCTACCTTCTGATGCTGTTCACGATGCGAAAAGCGCAATATCGAAAACAACAGATGACAAGGCGGGGCAAGAGTCTTTAACGAATGTGTTCCGAGCAGCTGAAGCTGTTGAGGAATTTGGTGGGATTCTCACTTCTATTAAGATGGAAATCGATGATAGCATTGGAATGAGTGGAGAGGTTTGTAATCATTTTTTCGTGGTTGGTGTTATTTTTTTCTTTTCATTTTGGGTTGTTTGAAGTTTGATTATTTGGTCTTTTGTTACAGAATGTAAAGCCTTTACCCAGTGATTTAGCCAAGGCACTACATACAGTTTATCAGAGGTATGCTGAGTATTTAGATTCCTTTGAGTCTGATGAAGTCTACTTGAAGAAGAAGGTTGAGATGGAGTTAGGGACAAAGATGATCCACTTGAAGATGAGATGCAGTGGGCTTGGTTCAGAATGGGGAAAGGTAATAAAATTAGGTCAATCTATACGTTCAAAACTTCAGTCCTCTCCTCTGGTGATATAAGTTGAATTTGCATCTATGGCAGCAACATATAAATTAGACAGCCTGATTCAAAGTATAAGTGCGATGATTAGTTGAACTTTTCCTCCACATTCTCACTCGCTTTATATGTGATCTTTCCCGTATTTCTCTGTCATGCTTCATGCATCATCCAGGCAATCCAAATTCATGGTTTGAAACATATTTGGCACTGGTAAACACACCAATGTTGTTTACGTTAAGGACAAACCAGCACTCGTCTTTCTAACGCATTGATTTTATTTCTTCTGTAGGTTACGGTTCTTGGAACCTCAGGACTCTCGGGGTCTTATGTGGAGCAAAGGGCATAAAACAGGAAGAGAAGATGTTGAATGTGAGATAAACTTGATTTGTTTTTATTGTGTTATTGTGTCTTAACAAATAATAAATAAGGTCAAGAACTGACCGAAACCAATATGAGGTCAGTTTGTTCATTGTTTCCTCCAAACGAATCTTTCAAAGTTACAACTTAACACCAATTGAAAAAATAAAATCACTGCTCCAACAAGTTTAGCAGGCCTTTGTGCTCATTCGTTACTTTTTTCTTACATGAGATATGCTTCATTTCTGATGATTTACTGTGTGCGATTCAAAGCACGGTCTGTATTTGTCAAATGAAAGGAATTGGAGCAACTCGGGTGGGTTTCCTCCACGACCAGGACTCTGCAGGAGACTTGGGGAGCGGTGGAAGCAACATGGCTTTTCTTCCCAGACCAAATGGCCATCCTTGGCAATGACATAACTCTTGAATCACTGATCCTTTCTGAATTTCCTTCAGATAATACATCTTCCATTGATTCTCCAGCTTTACTCCTTTCAAGCTTGAGCACCTCGAGAACTCGGTTTTCGCAGTCATATACCCTTCTATGCTCAAATCACTCGGACAACATTCCGAAAAACTGCTCCTCACCGAACAAAACTCTACACCCTCTTCCGTTTCGATGTTGCATTCCTTTGTGGATTGGTAAGTAAGGCTCTCCTTTACAAATACCGTCCTTGACTTCTGCCTTAGCTTCTCCATTGCCCGACTTTTAATCTGAAAAACAACAACCTGAAACCAACAGAGTTACAGGAAGAAATGTTCATGTTGTCGAAGAAGAGTTGTAAAAGAAAGTGTTTAAGCTACCTCATGGTCATAGTCGCAATCCCCGACAGACTTCTCATCGTTGTCTTCGTGTTGAGAAAACGTATGTTTTCTGCCTTTGCATCTGTAACAATAATTGAAGGCATCTCTCAACCCTGTGGTCATGTCCTCGGTGCAGATAACCATCATCAGCTGCAAAAGCTATACAAATGAGCGAAATGGGTTGAAATCTTTAGATGATTTTGAGGTTTTGGTTTTAAAGACAATTGTGAGCTGCACAATATGACAGTTTATCTAACATCACTTGGATTCTTTGCAATGCACGCAACATAACTTTTACTGTTTTCTTATGTAATGAAGAACTGAAAAAGAAATATTGCTATGACCAAAATTAGATTCTGGTCGTCCAAATATCAGCCGAATTAGGCGGTAACAAAATAGTTAATGAATAGAAAACAAGTTCCTAATGTTAAAATTTTCAGATTCATCTCACAATATTTTGAGTCAGTTGATAATGTTAAAGATTCATATATGTCTTGAAGCATAATACATGATGTGACAGAGAAACTAAAGACATGACACCAAACTAACGTCATCAAGATACGCAAAGATAATCCAATTCCTTTACTGTTTTACATTTGCTATTTTCTTACACACCAACAAAATAAGTTTAAAACGAAGAAATCGACATAACTTGGGCTTTGCATGATTTAAAATCGT